TGTGCTGGCAGCCACGTAAGAGGTGCAAGTCTATTTCAGAGCAAGGCCAATCACACCCGAATTTAAGGGAAACTTTAGTTTTTATGTTAGCACGGATAACATCATTCTACTCAGTCAGGCTCATTTGGGCTAACCTGCACTGAAAGCTTGAGGCCCCTTAGTACTGTGCAGTGAACTCCAGAGTACAGAGTAAATTAACTTACTTTTAAAAGCAGAGGCAGCCTTGTTCTCTGCCCTAGCCTGCAAAATAAAGCATTTTGCAGTAATACCTTTCTGCAAGGCTATGCATTTTGTTTCTTGTATTACTGCACTTAAATATGCTTTGACTAAAACAGCAAATGGAGGGCAGGCTAGAGAGTCAACATAGCCTGGGTTCAGCTGACTGTAGCTAAAATAACTTAATACATCTGGAGACGCAAACATTCCAGAAGAGCAAATAGGAAGACCTTAGTGCCTTTGCATGTGCCACAGGTACACCTACTTCTGAAATACTGCAGCCAAGTACTCCGCTCCAAGGAACATACTGAACTATCGGAAAGGACACAGAAAGAACAAACAGTAATATCACAAGAATTGGGAAAAATGTCATGGCTTGAACTCTAGGCGTCTCGCAATATTTAGCAAATTGCAGAGGAGCTAAGGGCAGGTTTGACTGCAGTCGACCCCTCTGCCAAGCACTTTGCATCGTGCCTCGGGCAGTCAGCAGATGCTGGAGCACTGATTCATAACCCATGGGCCAGCCCAGCTGCTGAAAGTCCTTTTCTCCTTTCTGGCTGTGCATTACCAATACCCCTTAAATCCCATCTGATGAGCAGGGGGTTACAAGGCAGATGGGCAGAACCACCACCCGATCAGCAAGGACTAAGGCAACTCTCATACTCCAAGGGTTATAATTCTCCCTAAAATCAACAAGCTCCGCTCATGGCCCCGCGGTCATTGTCCCTGGTGCAGACACAGGGCAGCAACATGTGGCCAGAAGTTGGGCAGGAGCTAGCAGGCCCACCTATTTCTGCAGCAGTCCCGAGTACAGGTGGCATCCATAGAGGAACTCAAGCCTTAAGAAAGGCTCAGTTTTGGCAAGTCTGGTTAATATGGCTGCTAATCGAAGACTCTGAAAGCTTCAAAGAATACATATCCTCCCAGAAGACAGTTTATTTTATCTATAGGTATTGGACATGCAGCAGGACTTGATTCAGCTAGCTCAGACTTAATGGCTGGATTCTACACCCGCAGGGGGCACAATAC